AAACTCTGGTGAAAACACCACCACCAGCTTCGTCATAACAGAGTGGTGTTTTTTCAAGCATGTTGATCATGAAGATATCAGCAGCAGAAGAAAGAGCACTAGCAACTGTTGCCAGACCTTTGAAGCATCGATCAAAGTGCAACCACAACATAAATCAGTCTCTTTTTCTGCAGCCACCGACTGACTGCTTATGATGATTCCGCAGCACCAGACTCAGCAGTCAGCCAGTCAGCTCCAGTGATTATCACGCATGACGGTGACACGTGAAGTAGGCAAATGGATAAGTCAGCAGGAAAGCAGTAGAGTAGAGTAGCGCAAAAAAAGGCACAGCAAAGTGTCAAAGTGGCTTCTTTAGTACTATCAGCCGCTCTCTGAGAAGATCAGAACAATGTGTATATCATTGTGTGACACACTCAACAACTGTGATCAGCTGTAGCATCGATCACCACTGCTAGGTGCTTCTGGACCCAGTCAGTGTTGTTGCTGGGTACGCAAGAAGTGCATTATTTTCAACAACAAACAAGAGATATCAATGCAAATAAAGAAAAATTAGTGAATTGGATTGGATGCCTTGATCGCTTCCTCATGGTTTTTTCAACTCTTTCCTTCCCTCTCTCTCTCTTTCCCTCCAGTTTTTTCCATCTGTCCTAGAAAGTGTCACTCTTTTTTAGTGTCATTGTTGTTATTGTTATTGTTGTCTTGCTGGCAGTACAGTACAGTACCAGCTGCAGTAGCAAGTGAGTGTGATTGCAATGCTAATTGTCACAATGACAGAAAAAGACGGCAAAATTATGTTGAGTCAAGGCAAGCGAGTGAGTGAGTGGAAGCGGCAGTGGAGTGCACAAGAGTGCGCTAATTGGCTAAAGCAATGTTGACACAATGCGACACACCAGGCTGATAGCTGATGGCTACCTGTGCAAGCATTGTGTTTGAGCATGTTCGGTACTGCTTTTTCTCTTCTTTCAAGAGACAAAAGCTGCACCGTCACCTATTGGTCTCCGTGAGGCCGTTTCCGTATCTATTTCGGCAGTTGACACAGAAAGAGTGCTGGCTGCACTAGAGAAAAGGAGTCCTGCAAAAAAGAAGGCTCCACTCTGGCCACGACCAAGTGGCAGGCAATAGAACGACGACGGTAACAAGTGCCTGCCAACAACAAGTATGTGGCCAGTGCCAGTGCAATGCGGGGGCTTCAGTGTGGTGAGGAGACGCTGTTGTTGTGTTGCAGTGCTCAAGTGTAACCAGAAAGAAACGTTACCACCACCAACACTAGCACCAGCATCTCCCGAGTCATCAGTCAGCTATTCAGCTGATGCACCACCAAAAAACAATGCCGAGCTGACTTTTATTGCCTGATCACACCTGGCGGGGTACCAGGAAAAAAAGTGTGTTCGATGGTCAGCCAACACCTTTTCCTTAGAAGTAGATATGCCATTGGCTAAACCCCTTTGAGTGAGTTATGTGCATTTCAATGCTTGCAACAAAAAAGCTTTCCAAGCATTGTTTGCAAAAACCACTGTTGTCTTTGTGGCGGGGAAGAATATTATCGGATTGTGTTGTTGTTTTTCATTTTGCACCAAAAAAGTGGTGTAATCGTGGTTTGGGCGTTAAGCCGTTCAAATGATAGTGACAGCTGGTGTCGATTTCCCTTGGAAGCTATAGATACACTTCCACCAAAAGCCCCTTTCATTTGAAGTCTAATTGGGACTTTTTTGTTTTCAAACCGACACTTTGCAGCAACATTGATTTGCCCAAAAGGCAGGATAATGAGATAATGGGTGTTTACATAACACTGCACTTACATATCACCCGATTAGTGTCTGTTTGACTTTTCAAAGTCACAACTAATAAGCTCTAATGAATGGCACTAGTGAAGGTCAAAATAGAAGAAATTACCTGCTGCTGATAGAATGCCAAATGCCAAATATGGATAAAAACTATCATTTATCACGAGTCAATCAGTCAATTCTAGCAATTGCAACATCATGTGATTTGACGAGCTTGCTTACTTTTCCCCGACCTAAAGCTCGTCCAGTTTGTGTGCACCATGCTGCTGTGATCGCTGCTAATAAAACTAGACATGTAAAAATGGAATTGCCAACTGGTCATAGTGAACCGATCATTGACAGTGATTAGTACAGCGTCAACTAGAGCGCACAAACGCTGCCTCTGATGCTGGGAAGGTTTGACAACACTTGCAAAGTGATAAGCCTAGAAAAATAGTTCATTCAATTACTTTGTACATGTGAGATTGCAAGTACATTGGGCTGTCGATGGCCGAGCAGCGAATGGCCGCTCAAATCGTTGTTCAATCAGTTCTCAGCTGACAGTGCACTGTGAGGCTCTTTCTTTATGGTGTTTTATTGTCCACCACCCCCATTCTTTCCCTCTTCCTTCTTTTGTACAGCACATCCAAAGTACATTACTGTACGTTACTATACATTATCTCAATACACAAAAAAGGGCAGGCAAACCGAGAAAAAATACGTAAACAAATTTACAAAAAACAGCAAAAGTAGAGAAGGAAAGTAACTGGTGCAGATGATTGATAGACATTCAGTATTGAATTAGTGAGTGTAAGCGAACGTGTCAGCTTTTTTGAATAGTTTTTTGTGAAAGTTGTTTTAAAAAAACCATCACATGGACTTTTTTCAGTTTAGTTTGGTACATTTTAATTAACAGGAAGAGTTGAGGAAATTAGCAGTTTTGACATAATTTGAAATAATCAGTTTAAAAATAGTTTTAGTTATTATCAGTGGAAAAACAGTTAACTTTGTTGAAACACAGACAAAGCAAACAAACCAGTATGCACTGGGTATCAAGTTAAGTTAGCCATCTAAAAATAGTGTTCCTTAGTCGAAGTCTTAGTCAAAATGCCAGCCACCTACACTGCCCACACTACCAGAACAGTGCAGAACTAGTGCTATCTGTTTCCACTGAAATTGCAGAAGGTCGCATCCTTGACCGCGATCGGCAGCGAATGGCCAACTCGGTCAAAGGTCGTCAGTGCAGTGTTGGCCAGTGTGGTCCTCATACCCTCATAGTGCACACTGCATTTGGCCTCGTCCTCACTTAAACTGCGACCTCATTTAAACCTCCTTACTGTGTGTGGCCTGTGCAGTGCGCAATGACCAAGGCTGTGTGCCACATTCACTGCCTAGCCATTCACTGCTCCACATTCGCCCCACTCAAGGTTACTTCTGTTCACTGCTCTCCGGTCGAAGGTCATTCTCGGCGGCCTCAAGGTCGTCACCAGTCCATTTGACCTAGAATCGGCCAATTCTGTGCGTATTAATAGATGTCAAGGCCACTGGGAAGGAAAAAACTGGACCAAGGTCAGACAGTGGCCGTGGCGGTGATCACAATTTCCCCTGCAGGGTAGTTTCCCAACTACTTCTGTTGCTTGGGTGTTTTACCAATTGAAAGCACACAAGCACATTAGTGAAAGGGTTGCACAACTGTCACTTTTTTCCCTCTCTTCAGGTATTTCAAGGAAACCGCAACTGCAAGTTCAAGGCAATCGCCTTGAGCAACCCTTTTGGCATTGGAAAGGGTTATGCATACTGTTATTGGCAAATCACTTTCAAGGAAACCCCTTTCCAACGAACACACCGTTGACCTCGCTACCTGCTTGCTGTTCAATGTCACCCCAAGGTGAGTTAGTGAGTTAGTGTCTCAGTGCAAGGCCACCGAGTGTCGGTGGTGGTGGTGGTGGTAGTGGTGGCCACAGCAACGGACACACTTTTTTCCTCTGCAGCCTGGCTGCTGTCTGGCAGCGTTGGCCTCTGGCCTTTGATCGTCTGGCCAACTGTGTGTGTGCCGTCTGTCTGGCGGTGAAACACAGTGAACACTACAAAGGTCGCTTGTTGCTTATCCGTCTGTGTGCCACTGTCACTGACTGCAGTAAAAACCGTGTGTGAGGAGTAGAGCAAGATTAGTAACGACTGAAGATGACTAAAATGAGCAAGAGAAAGAGAGCAAAAGCCGAACAAATAAAAGTTGGCGGTAGTAATAATGCTAGAGTGTCAGTCGATTGACTACTGCCTCTACTGATCATCATCAAATGGCATCGGCAAATGTTTATCGAAAAGGCTGACTGACTGCATCAACTGAGGCGCATCAGCTGAGTGCATTGCACCAAGAAGATGAGAGTGGATGACAGCAGTGTTTGATCAACAGCAGCAGCACTGTCAGGCTAACTAGACAAATAGCAGGAAAGACAATGCACATCAACGGCGGCAGCCTGAGGGGGTGAAGAGTGCACAGTAGCAACAGCAGCATTAGCAATCTGACAATGTCAATTCTCAGTGATATCGATTGCAGTGGGCTTTTTTTCTCATTACAGGCGCCTTGTGTGACTGTTAAATCAAAAGACTCTAATTTATTAGAAAGCAAAGAGAATAAATCATTAGCACGGCAATCATTTGCGGCTGATGGACACAGCACCAGCAGCTAATGACACTGTTCACTCGCCTACTCTCTGAAAACTTAGCTAATTTTAGTTGGCAGTGAAAATGGACCCCTTTCACTCCGGAGACGCCGAGTTGTGCATCAAAAACAATATTATTATTAGAAGAAGAAAAGTCAATCAAAGACAAAAGTGGGTAAAAGTGCAGGGGGGTGCAATGGTTAAATAAAAAGTTAATGAAATGAGAAAAGAAAAGAAAAGAAAAGAAAAGGAAAAGGGAAAAGGCTGTGTACAAGAGGAAGTGAGAAAGTCCCATGAAAAGTCAAAATGGAAACACAATGAATGGGTAAAGACAATGGAAGGATGAAAAGTAGTGGTGGTAGTGGTTGTGGTGGTGCTGAGTGAAATGTTGGTTCATTAAATATAAATAAAAGAGAAGGAAAAAAGTGAGCCAACTGGTCCAAAATGTGATGGCAGGGATGATAATACACAACACACAGAAAAAAATCCCTTAACCCCTGCACCCAAAAGTGGACCCAGTGTACCCCACACTGTGCGCGTCTATGTACAGGCTTTGTCGTTGAGTAAAGCCCTTTCACCACACTGAACACTTCTTCACCGGTCGCATCGGTGATCCAATTGGACAGTTGAAAGTCTCGGCAAACTCAACCAAATTTGAAACCGTCCCAACGACGCGAAACTGTGCCGGACTATGTGAGCCTACCTGCACACGCAGCTTCAACACCTCAGGACGGTACTTGCCGCACCAAATGTTGGCCGCACTGATCCAGAAGAGCTGCTTCGGGGTGTACTTCAGTCCCGGCAGAGAGGACTCTTCGCCGTTGTCCTTTACATACATCTGATAGGCTCGGTAAGCCTCCTAAAGGAATAGTGTGTGAGTCAAATCTATTCTGGTCTAAACAAAAGGAAATCATTCTAAAAAATTACCACTAATCCAGCATTGTCTGCAATGTTTTCGCCTTGGGTGTTCACGCCATTGACCTACATAAACATTGTCCAAAAATTGTCAAAGTTATTTGGGAAAACATTTTAAGCTTTCCAAACTTGCCTTAAGTCCATTTTCCGGCACCGTGTAGTTGCCGTACTGTTCAATGATACACTGAGCTCGCTCTTTGAAGCGTTTGTCCGTCTCAGCTTCCCACCAGTTAATGTTGTTGCCGTCTTTGTCAAACTGTCGCCCCTTGTCATCCTAAAATTAGAATGCGTTTCAAAGTAAATGCATTAATGATTGAAATAAATCGTCTTTCTTAATGTACACTTACAAATCCTGAAAACGACGACGACAGAAGAATCAGCCCACAAAAAAATTAAAAATTAAAAATATTCCCCAAAAGTCGGACGTCACAACGTACCGTGCGTGATCTCATGACCAATTACAAAGCCAATCGCGCCGAAGTTTAAATAGCTAATAAAAATAAATCATTCAATTAGTGACATTGTGTTAATTTAATTAATGCGAAAACTCAGTCAGTTTGCAGAAAAACAAACAGCCTGAAAAATGAGAGGAAGAATGAGCTTACTTTGGCCTGTCGCTGGAAAAAAATGCACCCTGCCTGTGTGTTTGGTAGTAAAAAGCGCACGTCATTACCGGTTGGAAATTGCGAGAATGGTAGTAACTTACAGAATTCCTGCTGGAAACTCAATCGAGTTTTCAATAATGTTGTAGAACGCATTGACCACTGAAAAGTAAACACCAGAGAAAAAACCATTAGCAAAAGTGCTAAAGATAAATTTTTTTTACCGGACATTACCTGCTGATTTGCCGTGTTTGCGCCAGCTTTTTAAGAAAAGAAAAGTAGTTGTAGAAATTGCTTCAAGATACAAAATGGCAATAACTTACTCTCCCTTTTTGTTGGTTTTATTCAGCTGGCCAAAAGCATAGTCAGTAGACCACTTCCGCAGTGTTTGAACATTGTTAAAGTATTCGTTCTTTGAGAAACTCAACTAAAAAAAGTTGTCAGAATTATTGGTATTGGCTTTGTGCTCATTTCAGACTGCTGCAGACTTACTCCAGAGTAAAAGTTTTCAATTTCAGTATTGTTGAACAGCTCATTGGGGTAGCCAATGTAGGGGCGGATGGCCATTGCCTTGTCCTAGTACCAATTTAAATGGTCAATTTTGGTTCTTTATAAGCTTTCAATAACTTCTTACCCTTGCCCGCTGCTTCGTCCGATCGTCCATCCAGTCGACGTCGTGGAGAATCTTGAGAAACTCGCGGTGAATGTAGCCGACCATCTCCAGGGCCTTCTCCTTTGACTGGCCCTTGAAGTGATTGCGCACGTAGAGGGAGGAGAGGGCAATGCCCAGCGACCCGGTCACCGAGGAGATGCACTGCTCCCAGCGGGGCTCCTCGCGCGCCTGACCGGTTACCACGGTGTTGAACTCCTGAGCGAGCTCACGCCATCTCTTGCCCAGCATTGAAAAGGACTGCAGCACGACGCGCCAGAGCATGTAGTTGGCTAGAAGGCTATGGGAAATGCCAAAGAAAAGAATGAACTCCATTTAGAACTCTACTCCACTCTCAAACCTACCGCTTGTCAGTGGTCAGCAGCAAGGCGTCCAGCTTGGTGAGAAACTTGGGCACATTGACGATGATCTCATCGCTGGCGGTGACGTTGGTGCCGAGCAGAGCGCCAAAGTACTTGCTCCACTTGATGTTCGGCGCCAACTTCTCAATCTCCGCAATGTTCATCTTGTTGTAGAGAGAGCTGATGTTCCGACGTTCCTCGCGCGGCAGACAGTAGCTCGCCAGAGTAGTCTCAAACTGCAGCGTCTCAAACATCTCCTTCTCAGCGGTGGCCCGATCTGCGCCCAGAAAGACCGCACTGTCCACCATCAGCTTGTAGTAGGCGGCCACGGCGGAGTCGTTCAGCCCTCTCAGCAGGTAGTTTCGGTCGGGCATGCCCAGCGACGTCTGGTCCAGGTCAATGATGTGGCGAGTGTTGTTGCGAAAGTCAGGCGTCACCGAGAGGTCAATGAGAATGTCGTGGTTGAAGCCCAGCTCGCGAAACTTGATGAGAATGTCGATCCAGTCGAAGGTGGTGGCGCCCTCCCAGTTCGGCCCCACCACAATGGGCCAGCCACCGAAGCGCTTGAGGGCGAGGTGCAGCGGCGTGTCGCCCGCCTTCTCAATGGCCGTCAGGTTGAGACAGGAGCGGTAGAGGTTGCGCATCGACTCAAAGAAGGGCGGCTCGTCGGCGACGCCGGGCGCCTCCACAAGGACGCGCAGCTTGTGGTTCAGCTCATCCTGTAGAAGGGAAAAGACCGACACGGTGGTCCGGTCGTCGGGAATCACCTGGTTCTTGATCCACCCACCGCAGGCAAACTAGGTGAAGATTGGATGTTGAAGATGTGTTAAAGAGTGCTCTAGCGAGGGTTCAGCTGTTGTAAACAATCACTCACCTGATAAAAGTCATCACACGGAGAGACGTCCTCGTTCATGTTTTTGATCAGATCAGAGGCGGCTCGAACGCAGCCCTTTGTCGTGCAGACGCCGTCGGTGCCATTCATCTTGCCAGTCATTTTGTTTGGCCTCAAGAATTTGCCCGTTTTGTCGAGTCGATTGGAGGAGGAGGAGGCGGCGGCTTCGCTGGCAATGACTGACTGCTCTTTTGTTAGATCATCATTGACTAGATGTTGTGCGGTTGGAGAGGACCCAGAGTGAGAGTGGTCGCCTGTGTATTGTTTAAAGGGGGATTTTTAGAAGCAAAAAAGGAAAGAATTTGCCACTTACCTCGACTGGATCTCAAACTCATCAAAGCTAATGAGATGCTCATGATTAGACAGAGCNCCCCAGAGTGAGAGTGGTCGCCTGTGTAGTGTTTGAAGGGGGATTTTTAGAAGCAAAAAAAGGAAAGAATTTGCCACTTACCTCGACTGGATCTCAAACTCATCAAAGCTAATGAGATGCTCATGATTAGACAGAGCACAAGCATGGCTGCCGTCGCGGCACACAGTGCCCTCTCCATGCGAGTCCTCCTGTTCCACCATGGTGGGTTCCTAAGGTAGAGAAGATGACACACATCAAAAACAGTTTAGTTTACAAAAATGTGGTAAATTGCAAAAAAAAGAAAGAAAACAGACTATTGATCTAGGCGATTCAAGTCAAGCAAACAAGCAAACAAAAAGCACACGTTTTACGCTTCACATCTGACATTAAAACGATCTGCACAATTACCAAAAACAGAATTTGCAGTTTGATGCGGCAATGGAAGTGTAGGTCGTCGAGTTGTTGACTCGATTTGCCTGACCCACAACTGCAGGACTACCATCACCGCCACCACCACTGACAGTGTTTCGCGGTAGAAGGTGCAGATCTACGTGGTGAGATCCACTGTTTGCAGCATCACCACCGCTCGGATGATGCTTTGCAGTGCGATCCAGTTGAGGCCGAGTTGAGGCGCTCATACTGCAGAAGGTGATGGTTTTGTTGTCGGTAGTGTTGCTACTATGTTGATCGGTAGTTGAGGTGATGAGAAGGTGATGATAACAAGATTACTGTGACTGATTGTTGATTAATATATCTCTCCAACAAAAGGTTGGGATTTCTCTGTTTTGGAAGACAACAGTGAATGATGTCACTTGTATGTATCAAAATAATAATGTGTGGGTGACTTTCTGGGTCTATTAAACTTCCTCAGAGCTGTTTGGAGCAATGATGATGAATCACAGAAGACTGATGTTGAGCACACTAACAGTGGCGGCAATTAACATGTGTCGCAATGAGGAGAAGAAGAGGATGGAAAGAATGATCGATGCTGCTGCTTCTTCTGTTGACAAATGAGACTGGAGATGAGATTTTAAACAGAGATGATGAATGACACTCAAGAAAAGATTGAAGAGCGTAAACACACGTGGCGACACCAGCGTGCACCCCAGTGTGTGTGTGTCACCAGTAAAGTTCAAAGTGTGACAATGAAGTTAGGCGTTGATGACGGTCAGGTAGGAGCAAAAATACGAGAGTGATCTTTCGAAGAGAGAAATGTGGAGAATACTGTGCGAGAATTGACATTGAAGAGTTTCAATATCGATTGATGGTGCGTGATTACGATGCCTGTTGATATCGATGCATCCTCGGTTTGAAGACGATGATCGTACGGGGGAGATATTGGCTAGAAACACTGTTGCAATCCCTTTCTTTTCTAAACCGTAATGTGTGTTTGCTTGTAACCAGCTTTGTTTGCAGGTATTTCCTGTCCGGTATTAGTTCTTAGTGAGAAGTGCTTAAGTGCTCCTGTCGACATTGGCGAGATCCGTGTACAGTGCCGTTGATTTGGTGGCTTCTTTTGGAGAGCTTTTCATTTGTCCTCGTGTAATCGTGAAGTGCTGGAGAGGGTTTCTGGTGGCCATGGCCAATTTAGGGCTGCCAATTAGTTGAGGACAAAAGTAGAGCTTGGCAATCAAACAGCAATTGACAGTGGTCACGAGTGTTCGCTTTTTTATAGATGTTTCTCTGTTCTGTTTCGGAGTTTGATTCTCAGCTCGTCGCTAAATTGTCGGATTTACTGCAACTCAAGGATTTACGCTGTCTGTCAAAAGGAAAAAATCAAATACGAAACAAGTGGTAGAAGGGGCAATAAAACGAATTTATATAGTCCACACAGTTTGGCACAATTATTATCAGCGATGGTGAAGGCTTAGTTTTAGTGCGCAGAACAAAAAGAACAAGTGAGTAGGGTAGTTGAGGCTGCTTGAAAAAGCTAACTGAGGCATTCTCCAAAATGGGGATGCCGAATTAGCCGTAAAATCGGAGGAGGGAGTTCATTTCGCCTGTCGTTTTTTCCTCGCACTAACTTACTCACTAACTCGGCAGTCTGTCTCACAAGTAGGCAGTGTTTTTCGAGGCCGTCTGAGATCGTCTTCCTTGCCTTTTGTATTGGTTGTATTTTGTCATCACCATCTTCTGCACACAGTGTAGTTCCCAGTAAAGAGTATGGTGTCCCTACGAGCTAATTATAGCGATGAAATGAGATGAGATGAGATGGGATGCGTGTGATGCCTTCCGAAAAAAAGTGCTCGATTCAGTGCCTTACGGGTCCACATTCACTTGCTCAGTTTGCTCTCTGATCACTACAGCAAGAGTGAGACTTTCCTTCCCTCTTTCCTTCTCGGGTGTCACAACGATTTCAGCGCAAACTTATTCCGTGCCACACTTTGTGTAAGTAAATGTGTGTGTGTGCACAATTGCACGCAGTGTGGTTCAGTTGATTCAGTAGACTCAAGTGATTCTTAGTCGGCGACTGTTATGTAAAAGCAACCACTATTTGGCGCCATATCGGCGCAGTCTGCTGATGCTGATGCTGCTGGAGGATTGAAAAAGCCAAGAGTAGTGAAGAGACAGTGTATCAAATCTCGAGGATGAGCGAGAATCAGACAAAGATTGTCATTTATCTTTTCGTCTCGGTTTGTCTTTTGCCTTGTTTCACTTAGTTTACTTTTAGAGAATGTCTTTTTCTTTTTTGCTCGTTTTCTTTAGTTTTCCGCTCTCATTTTGACTTCATTTTTTGCTTCTTTGCCCCTCAACTTTGGTAGTTTCTTTGCTGTCCCACCGGCACATTGACAACAATCGTGTAATTTTCTCTTTTAAATTAAAAGCCTCCGAATTAGATCCTCTTGACATCTCGGTCGTCAGCAAATAAATTAACTAGCAACTGACGAGATAGTCTTTGAAAGAGTGTGAGTAGTTTTGCTGCAGCTTCAGTAGTAGTTTTAGTGCTTTAGTTGTTAGCGTTGACAAATTGGTTGAATGAAATGTTCAGATGAGGAGAGAAAAATGATGATGCAACTTGCAGTTACAAAAACTTACAAAAACAGAGATAAAATATCAAAACAAAACTCACTTTAGATTTTTGTTGTACTTGACAAAAATCGATTGAAAACAAAAAAATACAAACAACATAATAAAAAATTTACAAACTGAAGGAGCAATAGCTGAAAAAACAATAAATAAAAAATAATTTAAATTGTCCTCTTCTTTCTCTTTCATTCCAAATCAAATGATGGCAATGATTAATTCAATGCTGAACAGATTAGTTTATGACTAATTCAGAATTGTGATGCACTATTAATAGTGGCGCTTTGGTTAATTAATAAACAAGAAAATGCTCTGGAGATAATTTGGTTTTGGTATTGACATTGGCCCTGCTGGGCTGGTACGGAGAACGTGAACGTGAAAGCGGTGAAGGTGAACAAAATCTATTTTTGCCGGTGTCTGATGTTCACCCGGCAGATCAATGCCAACGACTGAATAAAAGAAGGCTAATGAGATGCCATTTGAATAGAACCAACTGCCACAGAGATACTGAGACAGTGGGGGACCTTGACTTAAGAGCAGTAGACATGACTGTCGTCCCGGGATTTAAGTGTGTATCGAGGCGAGCTTTAATTAATCCGAGTCAGACATGTCGGTGCAATGTTGGAAAGTGACTAGCAATGAGCAAGGCAAAGCTAGTGCCCGGGACAAAGTAGCAGCAGAAGTGGCCGTCTGACTGAGTTTTTATTTGTGAACCACCTTAGGTGAATCGAAAGTGGAGCAGTGCCCACCGGGAATTGTCGTTCAATTAGGCCAGACTTGTAAGTGCAAAGGACACTTCACATGAGGTGACCACATCAGCAGCTGGCCAGATTATGCTGTCAAACCAGTCGCCTCTGCTTATCGAATTCACGGGTATTCATAAGGAAGAAACAACAGCGTCAGAGATGGTCGCTGATGAAGGCACTAATGAGCATTATGAGTCACTGCAGGAGAAGAAGAAGATGACAGGCGAGAAACGTGTTCAGGGAAGTGGAGATGTGCTGTGACGACGGCTGCTGCTTGGCGGTCATTCAATTAGGGGTACACTAAAACAACGACGACAAAGACGAAAGAGAAAAAGAAAGAGAAAGATTTGGTGCTGGCCAGGAGCAGACCTTAATTAGACTTCACTAAGAATAGATGCGTGAAGGTAGAAGAAGAAAAAGAAGAACAAAGAACGATAAAGATGGTGGTGGTGGTGATGATGGCTGTCAGGAAGCAGAGAGGAAAGATGACACAACGGTCTGAGCCCACTTAAGTGGCAATGTGTGACAAACAAATAATAATAAAAAAGTGGCGTGCCCGGATTAGTAGCAGCAGCAGCAGTCCTTTGCAATGGTTCTGACCACTGGCTTTTCTCGGTCAGCATGAACAGTGGACGTGCAGCGTTCACTGCCAACAGTGCTGCCAAATTGTTCAATGTCAGACACCACCACCACCAGCAGCAGCGAGTATCATAGAAAGGTCAGAAGAAGGAAGAGGGGATGAAAGAGAGACGGACAGTGACAGTAGCCGAGTGACCGACAATGGGAGAGAAAGAGAGGATAGGTGAATGGTGACAGATGCGAGCGGTGATTAGGATGCACTCAGCGGACAGAGTCACAGATCACACTCTTAGGGGGCAGGAGGATAGAAACGTGCAGACGACAGCATCATAGGCATCATCGCAGAGAGAGACAAATGGTCAACACACTTGCTGCCACACTGCTGACTGCTGCAATAATAAGTG